CTCGCCAGCTTTCCACTAACACAGAAACATGAAGATCAGCTCAGACTGAACCTTTAAATTGACACAAACTGAAACCAAAACTTTTGAAGAGTGATAGAAGTGAGACTTTACTTACTTCCTTTTGTCTATTTTTTTAGGTGTATATTATTTTTTTATTTAGTTACTGATGACTGTTTTGCAGCTTTCATCATTGAATTGAATGATTTATTATAATCTTTTGTTTGTTTTGTAGCAGATATATTTATTAAATTGACTTCTATATATATACAGCAGTACAAAATAAATATTTCTTACTGCAATGCTTCATTTTTGTTTTAAACAATTATTTTTCATAAAGTAACAGACTTTTTATAGCAGATAACCTACATTCATGCACATTCAAGGCAGTATCATAATGAGAAATGTAATTCATTGTTACTATTATTGTCATTTTCATCATCATTAATATTCTATAGCCTAATTATTAGAAATTCATTTTGGAATTATTGCACACAAATATCAATGTCATCTCAGCATTAGATAGTTGTTTATGGTTTTTGCCAGTCCTTTTGATGTTGTTTTAAAATACAATAAATCCCTTAAAAAACAATTTGCAGCGGTGCTCAATCATTTTTGGTGTGTGCTCCTAAATTTTTTCTGGTGCTCCTTAAATTTTTTTGGTGCTCCTAAATATTTGAAGTTGGGAGCACCAGTGCTACCAAGTAAAAAAGTTAATTTCGAGCCCTGAATACAGATTAGTCAGACTTCACAGATTCAATATTGCTTTTTGTCTTTGATGTCTAGTCTAGTTTTGGGCTTTTTTATGTCTATTAGATGTTTACTGACAGCTCAAACTTAGTCTTGTTTTAACAAAGCCGTCTATGTTTAGACGTCTATTAGACTTCTTTTAAAAACAAAAAAGTGCTTGCAGGGAACATAGACAGACTCTTTTTAACTCACTGAGTATCCTGACTCACTTGAAAACATATCACATTACAAGCAAAAAGGTCTGCACACAACTTCAAACCCATGTATTGATTCTCCTGCAGCCAACTGGAAAAGGACACACGCTGAACATCATGACGAAAACTAAGTTAAAGGCTGAAGGTGACATTTCATTCACACACAACCAAAGCCTATAAAAACTCAAAATCATCTGCAAACTTGCAGTTAAGCACAAGTATTTCCTTCAGCGCATGCACATATAGTGATATCAGTAAAACAGTCCATCAGGTAAAATGTGCCAAGTCAATATCTGACACATGCATCAACTGATTTAATAAGAGTTTGGTAAGTTGAGCAAGACAAATCATTTTCAAGAAAATGAAAGACAAACTCCCTGATTTAATAAGAGCAACATCACATAGCATTCGTTTCTTTCTGCTAAATGACGGTTATGAATCACTGAGGCATTTGACTGTAAATTTGAACATAGCAGTGTTAACACAGAGAGAGATTTATGACATTTAAATGGCTCTTTGTCATAAACAGATGTTACATATTATACACAAAATGACTGAAGGGACCTTTCAAAACACAAATATGCACGGTCTGGAAAATACGCACTGATATTCAGACATAAGAGTCTCCTTTTCCACCCGGCTCTCGGTCAGACTCACACTAAACATCAGCAATCCCACTTACGAAATTCTAAAAAAAGTGCTGTATCATTCTTTCATTTTTGCATCAGCTCATGTCATAAATTGCAATGCATAGGGTTGATAAAAAGCTTGAGAAACATTGAGACCACTTGCAGACAACGTGTGAAAGCATAACTGCGTACAAGTACAGCTAGACATTAATAAAGGAATGCATAATACAGCTATAAGCGTTGAATAATATAGCACATGAAGAAAAACTGAAGAATACCTGACTATGGCAAGCCACTTTAATATTTAATTTATATTCAATCAACTAATAAGACTGCACTATGAAGTAGATATCATTAGTCCATTTCACACATGCAAAGTGAATGCATTAATTATTTGCAATGAAACAGATAAAACTGAAAACAATCTCAATCTCAAAGTTCACTTGTAAACTACAAACTCCCAGTATTCAATAGTTAACATGTAAATAGTCACTATTTGAACACTTCCCACTTTAAAATATACTTTAATAAATGTGTTTTTGAACCATACTGCAGTAAAATACTTGAACTAATTGGTTGTGATGATTGTATAGTTGCTGTGGTGGTAATACAACAACTATAGTAAGATAAACAACCCAATACTGTACTAGTTATCTATAAATATAAATAGTATATTAAACTACAGCACATCACAGATAACACTAAAGTATACTACAGTATCTATTACAGGTTTTCAATAGGTAGTACTACAACATACTATTATATTTATTAACAATTAGTTAATACAAATACAATACTAGATACAAAATAAAATGTACTATAGTAAAGTTCAATAACACAATAGCATTTAGTCTTGTGTGTTTTTTAATGTGATTTTGAACCATACTATAGTAATATAACTAAATGAATTGGTTGTGGAGAGTTGCTGTGGTGGTAATATAACAACTATAGTAATATATAAAACAACCCAATATATATGTAAAACAATTATAGTAATATAAACAACTGAATAGTCATTCTGTACTAGTTCTCTACAACTACAGTTCAATTTTATTTTATTTTTTAATATTTTCCAAATGATATATAACAAAGCAAGGAAATTGTCACAGTATGTCTGATAATATTTATTCGTCTGGAAAAAGTATTATTTGTTTTATTTCGGCTAGAATAAAAGCAGTTTTTAATTTTTTTTAAACTATTTAATGTCAAAATTATTAGCCCCTTTAAGCTAGTTTGTTTTCGATAGTCTATAGAACAAGCCATGGTTATACAATAACTTGCTAAGACTAATGTGTTTTTGGACCATACTATAGTAAAATACTTGAACTAATTGGTTGTGGGGGTAATATAACAACTATAGTAACATAAACAACCACTGTACTAGTTTTCTACAACTATATACAGTATATTATACTACAACACACCACACTTAAAACTAAAATATATATTACAGTATTTATAACAGTTTTTCGATAGGTAGTACTAGCACATACTATTGTATTCATTAACAATTAAGTTCAAATACTATACTAAATCCTGAATAAGCTTTATAGTATGGTTAAAAAACACAATACCATTTAGTCTTTAACTATAATAAGTTAAAGATTGTGTTTTTGAACCATACTATAGTAAAATACTTGAATTAATTGGTTGTGGTGATTCTATAGTTGCTGGGCTAATACAACAACTATAGTATTATAAACAAACCAATACTGTACTAGTTTTTAAGAACTTATACACTTTAAAAAACGTTGAGTTATTTATTTAACCCAATGGTTGAGTTAAACATATCTGGTGCTTTGTTTTGGTTATTTTAAACCTTTATTTGGTTATGTATTTAATAACTCAACCAGTTGGGTTAAAAATTTTAATTTCAACACTCAACCGATTTAACTGACACAAAACATCTGTATTAATATGCGTGCGTAATGTTGTTTTTGCGTGATGCAGTTTATTTAAGCTAGAATGCAATATTGTTGATTTTTTATTTTATCAAAATTACCACTCGGGGTCAAGTTTTTATATCCGACAGGGCTCAACGATAAGGACTGCCCGATGGCCCAGGGCCAGCGTGAGAGATGCTCGGGACAGTAGACAGAATCATTACTGGCCCGATCGGGGCAGTCCTGCCTTGTCACTAAATTTTAATAGGCGGCAACATGGCCGCAACATCAAATTACGAGGCTAAAAGAAAACGTCTGTTTCTAACGTTGTGGAAACATTTAAATGGGTACAACACAACAAAAAATGAAGTGATGTTTTGCATAGTTTGCCGTCACTTTTAAGTCAGCCACCATTTGTTTAGCAATAAAATACCTGCACATTTTCCATACTGCTGTTTTTTACTGCTAAATATTTTAACATTTTTCAAATATTTAAATTCTTCATTTACAGACATTATTTTGTGACACAATCTTTAATATATGTGGCTAATAAATAGCAATTAACTTTTTTATTTCTTTCGTGGGTCCAATGAAAATTTTGGCAGGGCAAGTAAAAATTTGAACCACTGGTCCAATCGGGCCAGTAGAAAAAAATCCATAGCGTTGAACCCTGTCCGATTTACCATCCAAGACCATCTTTTAGAAGCGTTTGGATGTGGTTGAAATGCATTGAACATTGCTAACACTGAAGCCTGCTGCAGCAGCTGGACAGTCTCGCAGAGCTCCGTATTCAGCTCAATCAACATATGGTTTTCTGCTTGCACAGTTTATAACTGACTGTACTTTGTTCTGTTTTTTTTTATTGTTTGTGATTCTTGATTTATTTTAACATAAGTGTCTAAAACTAAAATGCAATGGAAAAAAGGCATTTGCAATAGTTTTGAATACTGCGTGTTATTTATTTACACAGTCATAATTAATATTAGTACTAGCAATAGTAGCAATAGTAAAACCAGAATGGAGAAAAATAACATTTAATCAAAACAACCCAATGCATTGGGATAAAAATAACCCATAGTTGGGTTATATGTTGAGGTATTTTAACCCAACTATTTTAATAGAGTATACAGTATGTATTATACTTCAACGCACCATAGTTTACAACAATATATTCGTTTTTTTATATACTGCATACTATTGTAACTAGTTGAAAATAGTATGGTTTAAAAACACAATAACATTTACTGTAAATTAATATAGTATTTTTTTTCCATGTGGGTCACTAATAATATAGCTAGCATAGGCAAGAGTAGTATTTGAAGTAATGAAAACGGCTACTTCTTTGCAAGAGTTGATAAATCAGCTTGCCACATCCCTTATTCTTCCCAAATGTCATCTAAAAGTCACAACAGCATAAACTACTGACCTCACCAGCCAAATCAACTACTACAAAGTCCAGCAATCTACTAAATGATGGCATTTGATGCGCGCTGCAGAAACGTCACTCAACCGAAGCACGAGGACCAAAAAACACACAACAAACTTACCTAAGAACAGGGCGCGAGCGCTGGCAGACATCACGACTCCGGACTGGGAATCCAACACAAATGTCTGCTTTGCTCCTCAAACCGAACACGTTGAGTCATTGAAATGGTCTCTCAGTTTTGTTGTGGGCACGAACAAAGCGACATCGCCGGCTGAGGGCATCAAAAGCATCTCCAAACGTCCCGAAAAGCTGCTTCACAAACCGCCCGTTTGCACCGAAGAGAAGTTCTCATTGACTTCTGCCAGGATGCGTATTATCTGCGATCTCCTTGCTCTCCTCCTCCGCCTCCTGCTCGGTGTAGGAAGCAACCACACGGGCTGGTGAAGGTGTGTGAGGGGATGTGGAGACCTCTGCAGTTAAAGGAGAACACTTTCCTGAGCACATTTTTTTCTCTGACGGGACAAATGCAGATAGTTGAGCGTTTGGGTTCGGCGGGTCTGCTCCTACTTCATGCGATAAACAAAGTGCTAATAAACAAGTTAGCCGACTAACAAATGATCTGAAGAAATTAAACTAACCATATTGATTTTGTTAGCTCACATTGCTAGTTTTTGTGATGAACAATTCATCTGTGAATATTATTAAGAACAAAAAAATAGTTTGCCCTTGTAATCTAAAATTGAAATCTGAAAATGCACTTGCTGTTTTCTGATAAATTCTCAGATTAGCTACGGCTGTCTGAAGTATTGGGCGTGGCTAACATACTTTACCACGCCCCTCCAACTCTCAGTTTTGTCAGCACTATGAAAATGAACTGTAATGTGAAGAGGTGTCTGTAAGGTTGTAATAACTCACCATCCGAAACTCATTTTATCGATCTTTCTGAATGAAAAACAGTAGCCTACCTACTTTACTACATCCAATCAGCTTGCAACAGAAAAAAAACAAGCCACATCCAATGTTTTATCATTTAATATTTCTTTCTATAGGACAGGGGTGCCTCAATATTTTCTTATAAAGGGCCAAAGCCAGGCTTTATTGAGAGCTGTGGGATGAAAGTAAATAGCAAACTGTACTACATTAAAGTTGCCATGGGTAATTTCCAAGCGGCAACCTTCCACTCTCCCTCGTGAAGCAAATAAGGAAATAACTGAAACTGCTATTTATCGAACTTCCGCTAGCCCTGGCTCCATAATACAGCAGAAGTCAATTAACCCCACTGTTAAAAAGGCTAACTTTACAACAGAAGAAAAAAGGTGTTTACAGCCTGGTACAAAAACGGATTTTGGTTCAAATAGCTAATATTACACTTCATGACAACTGTGAGGGGGTGTTTTTTTTTTTTTTTTCAAACCAATCCGTTTTGTTTATATTAAGTTATATTAAGTTGTATTAAGTCTGCATAATTAAGGGCGTGGCCACTTGAGTGACAGCTAGGTTTCGCTGGTCACCATTACTTCACCTCAGCTGATTCCGGCTGATTAGCTGCTGAACTCATACTGAACTAGGGGTTAGGGTTAAGCTTAAATATTGTATTTTTACCCTTATATATATATATATATATATATATATATATATATATATATATATATATATATATATATATATATATATATATATATATATGAGTTATAGGTTATATATATATATCGGGTCAGTTGCTTTTTAGAAATATTTCCTACACTTATCAGATGATTTGGCATGCTGTGTGCACTTAATTGTGCTCACAAATCTTTCACATAGCCTCCGTTTCCCAGGTGAGAGAAATTATATACTGACTGTACATACATACCATCTCGATAAATTTGTTTGTTTTATTTAGGATTATTAATAATTTATATTTTTTTAGAGCTGTAATGCACTCCAGAATCTGACAGATTGATTAGCTGTAGGCTGTAGAACAGACATCCGAAACATCAAACAGTGTTATGCCTGGATTCCATTGCATTTACTAATACAGACTATTGAAGTGTTTGGAAGTAATTTGCATTTTCCTCCTGTAGAAAAATGTCATAAGAGCAATGCTTAGTGGCTCCATGTATTACATCAGTGTTTAAACACTTTACACTAAACACTTTACTGATGTAGTATAAAAACTAGCACGTGGTCAGAACACAAACGAGTCGCAGGTAATGAAGTATTAAGCGTTTCTCCCAAAGAAAAGCCAATCTAAGCAAAATGCTAGCAGGCATCTGTAGCTTCGCTCATGCTCCACTCTCTTTGCCCTTGTTTAGTATCCCCCCGTAGGTGTGATGACGCGCAAACAAAATGGCGACCTTTGGCCAAGCCTACTTGTAGCTCCAACCATTAGTTTTCTGAGTGAAACATGATATTTTGTCTATATTTGGTTTCATTTAAAAATGTGTCATCATACTGAAATAAAAGTCTGCAGCAATTTATTAATTTACACAGACAACATGAAGACAAGTCGATATTAAATCAAGATTTACAATGTTTATTTTAATAGTGCATATTGTTAATCTTTAGGTGAACAATTAATATGTGCATGCTAATCCACTGATTATATATATATATATATATATATATATACATATATGTGTGTGTGTGTGTGTGTGTGTGTGTGTGTGTGTGTGTGTGTATATATACAGTTGAAGTCACAGTTATTAGCCCCCCTGACTTATTAGCGCCCCTGTTTATTTTTTTCCCCAATTTCTGTTTAATGGAGGGAAGATTGTTTCAGCACATTTCTAAGCATAATAGTTTTAGAAACCTATTTATAATAAATGATTTATTTTATCTTTGTCATGATGACAGTAAATAATATTTTACTAGATTTTTTAAGACACTTCTATACAGCTTAAAGTGACATTTAAGGCATAACTAGGTTAATAAGGTGAACTAGGTAGGTTAGGGTAATTAGGCAAGTTATTGTATAACAATGGTTTGTTCTGTAGACTATCGAAAAAAAGGGGCTAATAATTTTGTCCCAAAATAGTTTTTTTTTATTAAAAACTGCTTTTATTCTAGCCGAAATAAAACAAATAAGACTTTCTCCAGAAGAAAAAATATTATTCATGGTATGGTTCATGCATACTTTAAATCAAGCCACATACAGCAAAACTTAATGTTATTTAGAATGAAAGAATAGTAAGTAGACTATAGATAAGATAAGGCACATCATTGTCTACAGTGTTAGCGATTAATTAATAGGAAAAGTATGGATTTTTTAAGGGAAAGCAGTTTCAGAAAAAATCAATAGGTGACAATTAAAGTGATGCAGAAAATGTAAATCCACTCATTATTTACTGGTATCATGCCATTTTCCCTTTTGAAAGCAAAGGATTATAGGCCAAAGGTGAAGAATTTATTTAGACATTTAATTAACAATGACACCTGAAGCTCTAAACAGCAGCTAACCAACAAAAATACCACAGACATATTACAATACGTACAAAATCATTCATTTATTTTCCTTCAGCTTGGTCCCTTATTTAAAAGGGTTTATCACAGCGGAATGAACCACCAACTATTCCGGCAAATGTTTTACACAGGCAATGCCCTTCCAGCTGCAACCTAGTACATGCCACCCAAATGTGTAATTTATATAGGGCCTGTACCACATATCCACTCAATTGATTGTGAATTTCTTACAAAGATTTCTTTATACTGGTTTTGATAAACAGAGAGCCACTTTATTTAAAGGGCACCTATGATGAAAATCATCTTTCTTGGACAGAACTGTGTAGGTATAGTGTTATTAAAACCCAATGAGTTGGTGTTAAAATAGGATCCATATCCTTCCAATTTTGAGGCTGACTGCAATGTGACGTAGGAGTGCGGTTTCCCCACCCACCGAATGGGTGAGACGGTCGCGAGAATCACGAAAAGTATGGGGGGGGGGGGGGGGGTGGATGTGACGGCTCACGAACACAGTCGACGGGAGGGCAGGTGTTGAAGTGCAAAACCACCCAAATTTTCTATACCCACCTATATCATTTTATACCCGCACAATCGTGTTCAAAACCGCCAAACACTGTCCACAACAAATACATCAAATAATCATTGGAAATGTTCTTTCTGTAGTACTTTTTTCCGTAGTACTTGCGTTACATGAGATCTGCTTCCTTCGAATCTGTCACTGCACTGTTTATCTGACGAAGCGGGAGATTAAGGTACAATCTCACCAGCACATAGCGGGGAGAACTAGCTCTTTTGCATTAAAGGCGCAGGCAACAAAAACAGCTACAATGTGCTCAGAGCTGAAAAATCCAATGTTCTGAAAGGTATAATAAACAAATAATCAGATGGGCAGGGGCGCTGCTAGGGGTGGAAAGTTAGGACGATTCTAAAGGCCCATACATTTAGGGGGCCTGGAGAGACATTATTAAGGTCCCGCGACATCCCTTCCTCCACAATTCGCCCTTGGGTGTTTTGACCTGAATCTTTAAAGACACATTCTGGAGACACAAAAGACTTCTCTTAAATCTTAAAAAAATTGTAAAATAGGTGCCCTTTAAAATAGACTTCAATACATGCTTTGATACATTGGTAAGCTTGTTCACCATTGACAACGAAAGGACTTATTTCATAGTAACGCGCCACAAAAAGACAGTTCACCCAGAAAAAAAAAATGTTCATTTACTTACCCTTAGGCCATCCAATATGTAGGTGAATTTATTCAGCAGTAAATCATGTATGGCTACTGGGAATTTTCAGAATAATAATAATAATAAAAAGCTATACTGGCAAATCAACATTAATCACCTTGACTATTGCTGAGGCTGTGGATTAAAGGTAATAATGTTGTAAATAACACTGCAAATATGAATGTGTCATTATGAGCCACAGGTAATTAATTTTGCTTGGCCTTTTTTTTTTGCCAGGACCACAGACTCACACATCTAAAAACATCTTTAACGTTCTACTGAAGGGGAAAAAGAGCCTGAGGGTGAGTAAATGAACATGACATTTTCATTTTTAGATGACCTGTGCCTTTAAGAAGAACATTAATGCTCCCAGTAAGGAAAGAGGAGCTGAAAAAAGGAGGAGAAAACATGGAAAGCTATTTAGGATACAAGTAAAGCTATTTACTGTGCAAAAACAACACTTGTTGATATGCTCTAAGATTCAGCTGAACGTTATAAGACTGAAAAGGCATTTTTTGTGTATATACAAACATGCACAAGTGTGCTTACAATGAAATTCTTTTTACAAGATGTGGATTGGATTAATTTAACAATCAACATGCTTAACATTTTAAGACAGAAAGTTAAGATTAAATTACAATAAAAAATACAATAAAACCAAAACTGCGTTTCTTAAACAATGACGCAACTCGCAATTGAAACATCATAGTGCGATGGATCTTTTTGGGAAATGAACAATGTAGTGACAAGTGTTTAACGAAACCCATAGTTTCTCTGTCGCAGATCTATCATTTTAACCACGTTAGTTATAACGTAAAACGCCCTTAATGATGCTCTAAACTGGGTGGAGAAACAACTTCTCCGTGCAAATGATATTATTAAATATAACTGATAATTGAAATTGAATGTTTTAATTAATTCAAGCCTACTTGTACATAATTATTTCAACCCAAGCTCATTCTGAAAAGCCTCA